GGGTTTTGTCTAAGCAAAATCACTAGAAGGAGATGGAGACGCTAAAAGAAGAGGTTGGTAGGCTTATTGCTTTATTGGAAAAAAGTCAACAAAATCGCATGTGTTCATAGATTATCATCCAAAGAGAAGTTGGCTAGTCCTCGGCTTTCCTAGAAGTGTTCACCACCATGTCATCGCCAATCACTCAAACTATTGCCTCAATACCACCTCTTGGTATGCCCTATTTAGAGCCTATCGATACTACTAATCATGCCAACTATCCTACACTTGGGGAGCACGTGTGGGTTTGCTCCTAGACCTTTAGGCCTTACTTTTATGTTGCCTTGAATTGTCCAAGCACCAATAGTGGCAACTATTGATTTCATCACTAAAGAGTTGGCCAAGGAAAAGATAGCCTCGGAACTTGAAACCGAGAAGCTCATAGCCATTGAGGAATGCTTGAGACCTATCAAAGGTGCATATATGTACGATCCCTTCCTCGGTGTAGATAAATATCTAATGCCAAATGTGGTGATCCCTCGAAAGTTTAAAGTGCCCAAACTCACTAAGTATACTAAGAGTCAATGTCGTAGGACGCACCTAAGGATCTATCTAAACAAGATGGCCGAGGTAGTATATGATAAAAAGTCGTTGATTCATTTTTTCCCCGAGAGTCTTGACGATTCTACTCTTAACCGGTTTATTGATCTAGACCGGATAAAGATCACGAGGTGGAAGGATTTGGTGGATGTATTCATGAGGTAGTACAAATTTAACTTGGAGATAACACTCGATAGATTAGGCCTATAGTCCATGGAAAAAAAGCTCGAGGGAATCGTTAGGGAGTATGCTCAACGATGGCGAGAAATAGCTTCGTGCATTCGCCCTCCCCTCCTCGAGAGAGAATTGGTCACTCTTTTTGTCAATACTTTCAAGGCTCTATATCATGACTATCTACTAAGTAATGGGTTAAATAGCTTTATGGAGATAATGTATGCTTGTATATCGGATAGAAAAAGCCATTAAGTCAAAAATGATAACCGATCCTTTAGAATATAGACACAAGAAGAGTAACTTCAACCGGAGAAAAGACCAAGAGATACATCAAATTAGAGGATCTTATTTCATTCGTAAGGGGTAATGGAATAACTCTTGGAGGAATAACAATTAGTGCATCCCTCAAAACAACATGCCTAACCTATCTATGCCGTTCATAATTCCCATAAATGCCAATCCGACCAATGTAGCTGGACTGACGGTCCAAATACCAACCTTTCTACAATACAAAGGCCATACAATCCTTATCAAACACCAAATAATCCCTACCAAACCGCCCAAACACTTTCTTTGCCCTAACATTAGCCTCAAACATCTTATCGAGGCCTACAACAATTCATCAACCAATTAAGTTTAGCCAATCAAAACTCTTCAAGGAATATCGATAGGAGCCAATTCGATGATCTATTATCGTCACTTTCCATATCTATTGGTAATCTCTTTAAGCACTTGGTAACCGTTAGTCGGATAGCTCCCGTGACACTTGCATCATTCTAGTCGTCATTCCCTCATTGGTATAAGCCTAATGAAGTTTATGTATACTACGATGGCGCCAATGGTTATAATATTGAGAACTCGTGTGAGCTTCAAGAAAAGGGTGCAAAATTTGATTGATTAAAGGTCGCTTACATTCGAAGATTCCTCAAATCCCATAAACATTAATTCCAATCCTTTGCCAAATCATGTCACTATTGGAGGAGTAAACATGGTATCATTAGATGACACAAAATCGATCAAAGAGAGGAGCTAAGCGAGTTGGTTTGATGAAAAAGTGCCTATTATTTTCAAGATTTAGTGGTTCTCTTATTATGATTATCTTTGCCTTTTTTTCATTTCAGTTCATAAGTACATTATGTTGAACTCTTTATCATGCTTTCATAATGATGTTATTTTATGGGATCGTGCAAAATTTTTCCATCTCTCGCTTGCTTCTTTCCATTCATCTTATTTGCATTCTCTCTTTGGGACATCCAATATGATCATATCCTAAAACCACCAAATGACTATGCTAAAACACTATTGGCCTAACTTTGATAGCATTGGACAAAGAAAAAGTGGTGTGATTTTCATGAATCGAGTCGTTTCTTTGAATAAAAAAAATTTCTGCTATCGTAGCATAGTTTGTTATTAATTTAAAACCAAGAAATATTTATTTGAAAGTATTGTTCACCATTTTATGTCATTCAAGTCGAGGAAGTAAAATGGTGAATGCATTCAACATATTTCAAAAGTGTTCAATTTTCAAAACATTTCATGTAAACTTGCCTAGGATAATATAATCATACCCTAAACAAGAGTTAAAATATTTGATATCTTAAATAATGATAAGTGGTGCACACTCGAGTCATGATACCATTCGATCTATCGATATTTCTTTATAAATCATGATTTTCAAATGAAACTAAATCCTATCAACTTGAGGAAGTCGGACTAGAGATGAAGAAAGGCCATTTTTTATATATCCTTCACAAATAAAGTTTACCCTTATCCCACTTTGAGCCTTTGATCATTTTTTTTATAAAAACCTGGACTCGGATCACTCCTCATATTAGGGGTAATTTGAAGTTGTATGAAATCAATGATATCCTAAGAAGTAGAGATTTGGTTCATAAGAATTGAGAATAGCCTTGACATTATTCCAAAACAATGGGGTAAAAAAAACGATGACACTAAATGAAAGAAAATGTTATCTAAGTGGTCCTTATCATGATTTATAGGCGAGAAAAGGTTATGAAATCTAAAAAAATGCTATAAGTGAACATGAGAAAGAGAATTGAGATTAAAAAATGAGATCGGCAATTAAAATGCTAAAGTCGGTATGACCAAGCCTAAAATAATTTTGATGGATAATCGAGTGATCCCGAGTCTTTATATCCTCAAACACCATTTGAGTCTTTTTATATCCTTTTGTTCATAAGCCAAATCCTTAGCTTACATTATGTGCCTCCAAAAGCCCTTTCGATCGAAGATAACTTGCTTGGTGTTGATAAGTTTTAACTTTAAAAAAAGAAAAAAACACTTGTATATCATAAATCATCATTCATGGTATTGGATTGTTAGTTTTTCATTAAATATTTAGGGGCAAGGAATAAACAAAAATTAAGGTCTTTCTAAATAAAATACCCACTTGAGCCTAATTTTCTTGAAAAGCCTTTGAATCCGTAAAACTGTTTGAGCCTCTTTAAAAAGCCTCCGAGTAAAAAAAAAAAAACTATTTGATCCTACCTTTTTTTGAAAAGCCTTTGAGCCCATGACATCCATTTGAATATCTTACTTCCTTTGAGCTAACATTCGACACTCGTCTTTTCAAAAAGTGATTCCTTTCCAAGCCTTTGATATGATCTCGAATACATTCCATTCACTTAGCCTAAAAAGGATCACCTTAAGGATTATATCACCATATTTACGTGATATGTTTTGGCTTTCGACCAAATGAATCAAATGTCTTAAATGGAATTACATTCTTATCAACATCTCTTTGATTTCTTTTGAATAATTAAACTTGTTCGATGAAAATTATTTAAATATCTTACTTTCTTTGAGCTAACATTCGACACCTGTCTTTTCAAAAAGTGATTCCTTTCCAAGCCTTTGATATGATCCGAATACATTCCATTCACTTAGCCTAAAAAGGATCACCTTGAGGATTGTATCACGATATTTACGTGATATGTTTTGGCTTTCGACCAAATGAATCAAATGTCTTAAATGGGATTATATTCTTGTAAACATCTCTTTGATTTATTTTAAATAATTAAACTTATTCTGATAAAAATTATTTGAATATAGGACTTAATGCATGGAAGTCAAAACAACCAAAAGTTGAGTCTTCTAGAAAATGAAATGAAAAAAAATCAAAACCCAATCAAGTCAATTTCAATTTTATCCAGAGCAATAAAGGAATCATTTAAGTTATGACCAAAATTCATTAGAGCAATCATTTTAACTTTGCTCATCTTATTCTTGCTTTACCCAACGTAACATGATTTGCTCTTTTTTATTTTTTAAAATGGCCCGATTTCCATAAATATGATCCGTCCCTATAAAGCCCTTTCTTTGGTCTTATGCACGACCCTATGATTGACATTATCTATGAAATGTAATGATGCAGCAAATTGGTAAGTAATAACCTAATATAAATATTGCTCGAGCTTGGTAGAGAAGGAGGCTTTCTTTGTGAAATTTGGCATAAGGTCTTCCCCGATGGATTAAGAAGGCGACGATGAAAACTATCTCCATAATTTTTGAGTCAAAATTTTTCATATGTGCTGACAAAAGCTCAAACACTTTGGGGCAATACTCTAGAAGAATAAAAGAATGAACAATTGCTTGCCTAACCATAAGAGTAAATGCCATTTTGATGACATGGATGGTAGTATAATTAGAAATTTTAAAAAGGGACGTAATTAGAAGACATGTGATTAAACAAATAAAAAATCAACAAGAGCAACCAACCTAGAAATCATGAGCTTATTCCAATGAATATAGATTGCAGCCAAAAGGGAAGTGTATGTTTTGACAATAATAATTTATGTTCATTTGAGGACGACCGTGTATGTCTTTTACACTCTTGTGAGTTGATTTGTTTGTTGGTCATTTTTTTATGATTTGTTTTACAAGCTTATTATGCAAAGCCAAAGAAAAGTCAATTTTTCAATGGCTTAGCATCATAAGTATTGTAAAGAAGGAGCAACTGTTAGCACCCAAAACTTTTCCCAAAAAAATAAAAAAAGAAAAAAAGAAAAAAAGAAAAGGGATTAAAAAATATAATCGAGGGATGCAATTGAAAAATGAGAGAAAAAACGACCAAAATAAAAGGAGTTAGTGAGATGAGGCACCAAATCAAACTTTAGCCTAAAACCTTAAAAACCAATATAAAAGCCATTTTTTTCTCAAAAAGTGAGGGACTACTATTCGCTTCTTCTAAAAAAAAAATAAATAAATAACCTACGGCTAGCCTCCCATTACTTTCTCTTACTCCAGCTGGATCCAAACACCGACCTTCCCTTCGTCTTGCCCCACGCAAGCAGAACCCTCACACCACCAAGCACACCCTCGGCCTATAGTGCACCTCAACCTCCACACACCAGGCACGCTCTCTACTCTTAGCGTACCTCATCCCCCTCACCACCAAGCACGCCTCCTGCTAGCGACCTCCATACGCCAACAAGCACTCCTCCATCAACGCACACCCCCGCCGACGAACCTTCGGTGCACCTTACCTCGCGACTCGGCTCGTTACAACTTTAACTTTTAATTTCTCCGTACACAACAAGACAGAATAACCCAAGCCAACCAATGTCAATGTTAGCACTGAAGCCAACCAGCGCTAGCGCTTGCCAGCCAAGCACTGAGCCTCCCACGCAAGCACGCCGTGGCCTAGGCCAACCAACGCCGGCGCCAAGCCTCTCAACCAGTGCTAATGCTAGGCCAACGGGCATCGGCACTGCGAGCCGACCAGCTAAAACCCAAGCTAACCAGCGTCGGGGCTTGTCAAACAGTGCCAACGCTAATGCCGGTGTATAAACTTCCTCCGATGCGAGTGTGTAAGTGCCCCTATCGGGCCTTCTATGTAGCGCAGCAAGGCCCAAGCCAACAAACGTCGGCGCCAACGCTAGTTAGCTAGCCGGCCCTGCCGAGCCTCCCCAAACGAGCACGCCGGTGCCCAAGCCAACCGGCGTCGGTGCTAGCACTTGTCAATCGGCGCCGAGCACCTAGGTAACCGGCGCTGCCAGCGGCCTCGCAGCGTGTGCGGTAGCCATTGAGCCAAACGTTCTAGATCTAACAGCTTGCCACTCCTAGTTACATTTCCTCCTCGGTTGATCGAATATTAATCTCCATTGAGGTTGAAAAGTGGTCCGAACGATCCCAAATTCAACCAACCAGTCTACCTCTTTTATTTTTTACGAGTAATCTTTTCTTCACCTTTTATTTTACTTTATTTTATTTTTATTTTAGCACGTATTATATATAATTCATATCATTATGTGCATGTAATTAAATGATCGTGTTGAATAAATTAGCTTAATTTATTAATCATGTGTGATGTATTTGACTTATGATCATTGTTATTGCATTCGTAATTTAATAAATGATGTATTGGTTTGAACATTTATATACTTGCTATGTGGAATGTATATTTTTAGAGTGCACCTTGTATGGTAATTTTATTAAAAAAAAACTACATCGAATCAAATAGGTTTGAACTTTTTCCATGTAAATCTATTCATCAAACATAATTAATTATGTATGTCAAGACAACTAATTTCGTTGATTTTTTTGTTCTTTGTCGATTTGAGTCCGATTGCCAATTTTCATCGATTTTTGCCTATTTTTGCCTTAATTGTCGATTCTTTGCCTATGATTACCTAAATTATCGATTTTTACTTATTTTTGCCTTAAATGTCAATTTTTGCCTATGATCGCTCGAATTGTCCATTTTTACTTATTTTTGCATTAACTATCGATTTTTGCCTATGATCGTTTGAATTGTCAATTTTTACGTATTTTTTTCTTAATTATCGATTTTTACCTATGATCGCCTAAATTGTCAATATTTATTTATTTTTGCCTTAATTGATGATTTTTGCCTATGATTGTCTCAATTGTCGATTTCCACTTATTTTTGCCTTGTCGATTTTTGTCAAATTATTGATTTTTATGGTTTTTGCCAACTTGTGGATTTTTGCCTAATTGTCGATTTTTGCCTATTTGCCAATTTTTCCTATTTATCGATCTTTGTCTATTTGTCAATTTTGTCTATTTGTCGATTTTTGCCTTATTACCTATCTCGTTGATTTTGCCAATTTTGCCATTGTTTGTCCGTTTGTCTATTTTTATCAATTTTGTCGATTTTGTTTATTTGCCTATTTGTCGGTTTCGCCAATCTGTCTATTTTGTCTATTTGCCTATTATTTTTAAGTTTTGTTTTCATGCACGTCGTCTAAATTGCCTTAGTAGCACATCCTTGCATTCATCATTTTTTAGCCTTCTCTTACAGAGTGATGATAAGGTCTTTGACCGACCAAGTCCTAAACCACTTAACTAGTAGGCAAATGGTTAAAAAATAGGTACGATCTTTCATCATTTAAAATCGAAATCAAGTCGGTTTTCTAAGTAATGTAGCTTACCTTAGGCGAGTTGGGGTAGGGTGATCTTTAATCTTCTCTACACGTAATAAACCCCTTATCTAGAACTTTGAACGGACCATTCATAGGGTTTCCTAGTAACCATAATACTAGGTGGTGACTCTAATCATCTTTGCCCATTTTTCCTCATTTTTACCTTAACTTGTCACCCTCGCCAATGACGTCGCCTCGCGATAAATTTAATTTAATATGGTATTAGAGTCTAAAAAAGGCTAACAATTCAATAATTATTTTAGAGTCCAAATTACTTGATAGATACTAAAAGATGGATTGAAGATGAAGGAGGTCGTTAGAACCACCTATCACACGTTGAATAAATAAATAATAGAATAGTTATATATGAGATTGAGAAAGGACGATTCACACAAGATGTAATTTTATTTGAACCGAATCCAACCTTAACTAATTAATTCTATATGATATCAAAATCTTAAAAAAAAAAATCCAACAACTTAACAAAGATATTAGAACCCAATTCACTTGAGAGACTTCAAAAGATGGGCTACAAGTGAAAAGTAATAGAAGTCTATCCCACATCCAATAAATAAATAATATACGAAAAATATATAAGGTAAGAATGAACTACCCACCACAAAATTTAAATTTTTTTAGATAAAACCTAACTTCAATTATCAAATTTAATAGTTTGGCACCAATTGCTTGGCATAGTGTAAGTTTCAACGGATGTTGTCAACAAGGCCCACAAACGAACAGGGAGTTGCCACCTAGCTATCTAAGAAAACTAAGAAACCCTAAAACAAGATTGGTCCGCATAGATATATGGGTAACAGATTAGTTACGTATGAAAAAGATTTAACATCATTGTCATGTCATCCTACCCGAGGTAGATCGCATTGTATGCATATAAAAATAAAAATCTAATCTTACTATATTATGTTTCTATGCTTATTTGAGTGAATCTATTTTATTAAGCTAAATTAGTTGAGTAATTTAGGATTCGAGCCGATTAAAGGCCTAAATCTATACTACGAGGGAAAATAGGAATAGAAATTAGAATTTTGGCTAAAACCTTAGTGATCGTAAACTTTTATTGGCAAAAGATGAGTCTCTCGGGATTACGAGCCTATATTGACATAATTAAGAAACTACCGGCTACTTCGTCTATATAAATAGGAAGTCATTTGACCATTTTGAATCACACAAGTAAAGAGATAAGGAGGTCATAGGTGACTTAATCGACACAAGTAGAAAGCCATCGATAAGAAAATTATTTAAATAAAATAAAAATTATGAGTCTCTTGCTACTATAGGCCATAAAAAAATTATTCAAATAAAATAAAAATGGTAAGTCCCTTATGAATCCAATCCATAATATAAATCATTAAAATAAAAATGAAGAGTCTTTTGTGACTCGTAGTTATAATAGAAATCGTTTACATAAAATAAAAATAGCGAGTCTCTTGTGACTCCGACTCACAACATAAATCATTCAAATAAAATAAAAACGATGAGTTATTTTATGACTAAATTTCATAATAAAAATCATTCAAATAAAATAAAAATAGTGAGTCCCTTGCAATACTAGACCATAATAAAATTTATTAAATAATAATAACGAGTCCTTTGTGATTGCGAGTCTATAACGTAAATCATTTAAATAAAATGAAAATGAAGAGTCCTTTATGACTCCAAACCATAACATAAATTATTAAAATAATAATGATGAGTTCGTTATGACCGCAACCTATAACAAAAAATCATTTAAATAAAATAAAAATGACGAGTCCTTACGACTCCAATCCATAAAAGAATTCAAGTAAACTGTTCCAAAAACCACCGATAGCTTTGACCACATAGAGGGAAAACAGTTGACAATTTCATTTTATTAGCACATAACATAGATAATCATGTTTGGAAGCCACTAGAAGCTTCGACCACATAGGTAGGAAGTCTGCAGATGACTTCATTTCATTTGCACATAAATCAAGCAATCATGTATTGGATATGAACATTACTTGTTTTGAACATCACACCTAAAATATTAGATCAAACATGATTCAATAGAAACACAAACATCACATTCAAATCCAAATTAATAGTGGGACCAACATTTATTCTAGATACACTATTGAAACTAAAACTCAAGCTTGTCCTTTCAACTCTATCGTAAAGAATTGATCCATCGACCTTATTTCACTCCAAAATACTAGAGATCTCCAACCTTTTCGAGTTCGATACACAATAATGTATCTAATCGCATTTCAAATCTCAAACACAACCAAATAAAAAAAATTTATATTTCGTTCATCCATAATATAATATTTCCTCTATTTTTATTTCAAGCATCATTAAATAGTCTAGATAGTTTCAAAAATTATTCAAATATCGTCGAAATGCAAAAATCCCTCTCTTAGGTTAGTTTTAATTCTTTTATGAATTGATCGGTGAGAAAGAGGAAGGAACTACCCTATTTTTCTAATGAGTCCAAAGCTTAATTTATGTTCGGTCTTCTCATCCATAACATGAATCTCCCACTAGTTCGTAAATTCGGACTATAGTTGTCAAACGGTGCAAAAATGTTCCAATAATAATCTTTGTTCACACAGTTTCTATTCCTCATTCTCTTGCTATTATCACTACTATAGCTTATCAATTTAATTTTCAAGGAATAACAAACACAACCCAAAATAGTGTGAGTTTTTTTTTTAATTCAAACTCCCTCTTCCATCCATATGCTACTCGTCCATTTAAAAGGGTGGTTTCAAGTTATTGGTTTTTTTTTTTTTTTTTACCATGGATGGTGGCTACCCGGGATGAATGTTGTGGTGGTTGTATTAGTGTAGGTGTCCAAGATCCAACCATGTTTGGATGAGCTTGAGTTAATGTATTATTTCATTATTATTTTAATAATAATATCTTTGTAAAGATATTGAAATTTTTTTCCAATTTTGAAAGTTTTCTTTTTGGAAAGGGTTTTCAAAAGTGGAAAGTTTTCTTAAATAGGAAGTTTCTTAAAAATGAAAAGTTTTCTAAAATAGAAAGTTTTCTATTTTAGAAATCGATTTTCGATTTGAAAGTTAGTTCCAAATTTAGAATTAAACAACCTAAAATGAAAATGAGTCTCCTAATTTAGATTAAGAGTATTTTGAAAAATTATTTCTTAATATGGACCCACCTAAAAAAATCTAAGATTATTTATTTGGATAGTCCAAATAAACTAATTGGGCTAGAAAGATTTTGGGCCATTAAGGTTTAATTAAAAGCCTTAAAATATTTTGATGGGAGGATAAACATAAACCTTATTGGATAAAGATGAATGTTTTAAAGATAAT